AGCAGGAATAGTTTTATTTGTGATCAGCAATTCGAGGTCTATAACCATGGCAAGCCATGTGCTGCAAGTTCTCGCTTTACAAGGGAAGGAGAACTCTTTTATAGAGAGGAAAAGGAGGTTGGCGGACTATAGTAAACTAAGAGTCCATGACTTTTTATTGGCTGAATCATTGCCAGGAAAGAAGAGGAGTCTTCTTTCTGTTGGGCTTTGCTCTCATCACAGGGCATGAGAGCTCCAGCTTCTGGTATCCTGACTCTACTTAATTGAGGTTTCTTTTTATTGATTTTTTACAATATCAATATAACTGCCCTTTTTTTTCCAAGAAGAGAAATTTTTTTCAGAGGAAAATCTGTAGTATACACGTTTTCCTATGTTTATACCAACCCATAAAGTGTGATAATCACAAGTGAACCTTTAACAAAGGTCAGACCTTCTCTGCCAACTGTAAGGACTGCAATCAAGGTTATTCAGAAAGAAAACATTTTAAGTTATCAGGAATATCAAAAGATCTAGGTGTTCAATAAAATCTTTGAAACATTACCAAAAATAGGTTGTTTATTCCTGAAAGCTGGTAGGGAGGTGATATTTTAAGAGTATCTTCATTTGTCTTGAGTACACTAGATTCTTGGCTTGGCTGACCACAATAACAGGAGAGGTGAAGAGTGTAACTCTTATTTACATAGCTATCTCTTAAGTAAGACTTAAGTAAGACTGTATCCCCCAGAGCTCCTTAGTGTTTGTTTACTGCATCAAAGAATCCTATATCCTTTGCTCCTGATCGGCCATTTAGGTTGTACCATTTATAGCATGTCTCTGATCAGTCCCACAGAAACACCTTTTCATTCATTTAATCATTCATTCATTTAACAAGCATTCATTAAGCAAATAGTAGTAATATGGTGGCATTAATAATGCTATTAACAACAACAACTGAAAAAACACCCACAGTCATTTATTGAGCCCTTTTTATCGGCTATACCCAGTACTAAGATACACTTATTTCATTTAATTTTTAGAAAATCCTGTAAAGTTGGCTGATAATATCCCTGGTTTACAGACCAGGGGAGTCTGAAAGTTTGAATCAACTTGTTCAAGGTCAAAGGTTAGGAAATAGTAAAGCTGATATTCAAAATCTGATTCTTTTATTTCAAAGACCATTCTAATAATCATTACACTAAAGCAGTCTTTCTGTTATATGCAAGGCAGTATGCTAGAATATGGAATTAAATGAATAAAGATGAAAAAGATATAGTTGATAAGAAGCAAATAGTCTTATGGGGGACATGATTCAAATCCTAAAATAAAGTGACAACACATTGATTTTTATGGGAGCCTTGAGGAGGACTCTTGAGGAAGAGCCTTCCTTGAGGAAGAGCCAGCTCTTCAGAGGAGAGATTGGAAGAGAATAAGATAAAAATGGGGGATAAGGGCATTGACAGTGTCATGAAATGAAGAAAATCTGACCCAAGGCACTGACATTAAGGATGATGCAAAGGCATTGGATTAGAGAAATATTTAAGAAACAAACTGCAGCACTTGTTACTTAGATCTGGGGAAAGTGAAGGAAAGAAGAAATGAAAGATAGACTTTCAAGGTTCTGGTTAGAACGAGTAGATAAATTATGTTGGCCAAAACTATGGCCAGAATACAGGATACAGAGGGAGGATTTCAATTTTGACATTTTGAATTTGAGGTGCATAGGATATTGAGGAAGGAATGTCTAGCTAGTGGTTGAATATATGAGTTTGAAGCTCAAGAGTGAGGCTGGGGCTGGAGTGTAGGATTTTTTAGTCCTTAGCATGTGGGTGCTAATGGGATTGATGCAGGACTTTTAAGGCAGTTTATTAGCACAGACATTCTTTCCAAGGGCAGCTTGGAAACAACAACAAATTACTTCATTGAACTTGTATCGGGGAAAGTTCTTTATCCTGTCCCTTGTAGTGTATTAAAAGTTCAGATGGGGAATTCCCTGGCAGTCCAGTGGTTAAGAGTCTGTGCTTTCATTGCCATGGGCACTGGTTCAGTCCCTGGTTGGGGAGCTAAGATCCTACAGGCTGCATGGCGGGGCCAAAAAAAAACAAAACAACTTCAGACGGTTGAGGGACGAGAGAGGGCTTATTGGGCAGGTTAACAGGCTACTTTAATAGCCTTAATATGGTACATTTTAGCCACCGTCAAGCACCAGGGTCACCTTCCATTAGCTCCATGCTCCCCGATCCCTGAGCGCTCTAGCATGTATTTTTACAAAGTGTAGATCTGCCTCTTCTGTCATGAATCTCTAGCCTGCCACACTTCATTCTTCACATTTTCATCTCGTCTAGGACATAAGCCATGTGGGTGCCATAAAATGTGGAGCTCTGCCTTCCCCTGCTTCTTCCAAGTACAGAGCACCCTCCATCTTTCCTCTTCTCTCATTTGCCAGTTCAGTGACTTGCTCTGGCTCATGAGTTTTATAATTGGCACAGTACGAATTTATGTCTCAGCAAACTTAGAAAATACTGCATGTAATAGATTTTTGAGACCGTTTATGAATAATTGAAACCACGAATGTTAAATTCTTGAATGCCAGGGGCCTACTGAATATCAATATTTCATGGAGTTCCATAAACAACATTATGAATTCCAGTTTTTATGCCTCTTAAAATATTTGAGAACCCCTGATCCGTAGTATTGATATCTGTGACTTTATTACTCCTTTCTCTTTTGGAATAAATTAACATGTTCAACATATTCCTTGTGAAGATATTAAAAAAACAAATCCTTCTTTACATTTTATGGAAGTAGAGGGAGTTGAAATATGATGCTTTACATTTTGTATCTTTTATTTCATTTCTTTGGTTTGCTTTTCATTTTTTAAGTGGTAATATAGTAGATGCTTATTGTCAAAAATTAGACTATTCAGACGCACGTGAAGTAAAGTGAAAATCTTGATTTGCCTCATCCTTCAGTCTTATTGTCTACTGGTATTTCGGTTTGCATCCTTCTAAATCTTTTCATGTGGATTTACACAAGTAAGTACTCACATAGATATATAGGAAATTTCTTTTACAAGCTAGATGGAATCATAGTATATATATATTGTTTAATTTTAAAAATCCTTAGGTATATGTAGATCTACCTCATTCTTCTCAGCCTCTGCACAGTGTTTCATGGTAAGAATGTATTCTACTTTATTTAACCATTTCCCTAGTTGTGTTGTATTTTTTCCCCTATACTAAATGTGACAGTACATTGACTGGGATATTGTTCCCTATTGTCAACAAAACTGTTGCTGAGGCCCAGCCCTGAGGACAGAAGTACTGTTAAGTATCTCATGTTTGAAAGGAGCACCCCAGCAGTGAGAGCTAACTTTCCCTGTGGGGCTTATTGAAAGGGGTGAGAGGTATTCACTGTTCCACCCCCAGGCTTTATACAAAGAGAACTGAGAGACAAGGAGGTTTAAGATCTGGGAAAGGGCTGTGTTTGGGGGAAGAAGTTATTTTCTGCCTTTCTAAAATCAAGAGAAGAGATGTGCTCTAAGAGAATTTATTGTGGCATTTCGAGATGCCAACAGGAAGAAGAGACTGACACTTTATTGGACCTGCTTAGCCAGTGGATTTGCTGACTTACCCCATTACTATGTGAACAGAAAAAAAGAAAATTGGTGAGAGTTGACCCAGTGGGGGGACTGCCAAGTGGGGAGGTGGATCAGAATTGCTCTGTTACCCCACCCACCCCCAGGTCCAGATCCTGGCATGTGTTAGTTGGTCCTATAGCAGAGGGAGATGAGATTGGGATGTACTTGAGCAGCTTCAGAGGAAATAGTGTATATGTTAGCGGGATGTGGCATGAATGCCACCACCTGAGGGCCAGCTCCAAGAGGTAGTCACATGATTGGTTATCTATTACCTACTATACGAGAGCCATGATTAGATCTAGGTTCTTTTTGCAAGGTCTTTAGTCAGTTTGGATAACATTTTATAAAGTTGGCATACTGTGTTTCTTAGAAAAGAAAAAACTATCAAAACACCTAAGTAATTAGTCTAAAAAAAAGTCATGCTGATACCGTCTCAAGAAATTTGAGCTGTTGGATATCACATAACATTAAAACCAGCTTTTTCCAGAAGAGAGCCAGCATACATGAGTTCTTAGTTTTACATGGGAGCGAACATTCACGTGTATCTAGTACGTGGTTATCACATCCTTACCAGGAGGACTGGGGTTTATCTGAGCAATGTTTTCACTCCACAGGAGTGAAAGTAATTAATAGGTCATTTTTAATAGGATAAGACTAGGCTTACTCTTTGTACTTACTGGTGGTAAGTACACATTAAAAAAGGTTCTGTAGTGCTAATGAGAATATTTACTTGATTCAAGATGCCTTTAATTGGTTAAACTGAAACTGTTATTCCTACCACTTCAAAGGAATCATTTGTTTCCTGAGTTGCTCATAACTTAATGCAAATTTTTCTGTGAAGGAGGAGCAATTTCATCATGCAGCTGTAGGAAAAAAAATCATGATTTTATTTAGAGGGTAGAAATAAAGTATTACAGTAACTTATAAGAAATTACAAGAACAGGGCGTAAGAGTGTGACACATTCTTGAACAGGAAATTTAAGAGCCTAGTAGGTTTTTGGGGAAAGATTATATTCAAATGAAAGCAACTGTTGTGTTCTCTTATGTTTTGTTTGTGTTTTTCTGGTTATTTGTCACTGAATGTTTGACACGATTGTAAAGGTTTGATACAGCTATAAGTTCCTTTTCTAATAACGGTAGACTATTTCAAAGTTATTAAATTAGAGACAGAAATAATGGTATTTTTAATAACTTTAAAATGTGAATCTTAAAGTTTTAAAATATACATATTGCATGAATCTTGTAGTTTCATGCTTTTGTGCTTAAATTTACATATTTCTTTTGAAACATGCTTTATTATTTACTTTCTGATTTGTGTTATAGGAAATGTCACAGTCATTTTCTGCAATCACGTTAGATAACACAGAAGTAAATAACATGAAGACTAATGCACAGAGAAATGAAATCCTAGTAGAGGAACTTGGTAAAGTTCCTGAACATAAAATCACCACTAAGGAAACACCAAATGAAGACAGCAAGGCGAGGAGTTGTTCTGAGAGTTGTTTGAGTGCCCAAGGCAAGTCCTTCCATGGTGAGCCTGAAAGATCTCATCCTGAGTCTGGCTCTGATCCCTCCAATCCTGAAACTTTGCATGCAAAGGCAGCTGATTCAGTTCCACAGGGTTCTGAAGAAAACAAGGTCAAGAGGACATCCTGCATGTATGGGGCAAACTGCTACAGGTATGAAGTGAAATTACAGCTAGCATATAATTCCATTATTTCAACAGCATAATAGCTATGTAGATACATGCTATAGTGTGTTAAAAGCCTAATAAAACCCATTGGCCTAAAGGTTAGGAGCTTTGTCATGTTTCTCCTGGTTTGCACTTTCTCAGTATGCATTCTAGCAAATCCTGCTAGAGGCTTTTAAAATATTGTGGGGGATTAAATGTTTCATTGTAGATATGCTGATTAATACAGGGATCTGAACTGGGGAATCCAGACTTGAAAACAGAATCACTCAGATCGAAATACCTGCTTATGTAATGTCTTATTTAGCTGTTGGAAAGATGCCTCCATAAATAGTTGCTGTATACAGTATAACTCTCAAGAGAATTCTAAGTTGTGCTTAAGCATCTTATATTTGTGCATTTTCCTTTATATTTTTCTAATGGTGCTTTTGAGTCACCATGATGCCTTCTAAAACAACTGAATATATATTTTCTGGATTGATTGGTTACTCCTGTACTTACTTCATTTGATAACACTGTACCTTGTTTTCTAATTTCATGCTTTGTGAATTAGTTTTAGGCTAGAGTTTCTCTCTGTTTATTCTAACATGTTTATAATTACCTAGCCCTATTTCAGAAGTATTTCTTTGCCATTCCAACTTATCAAACCAAGTATCTTATCAGTACATTCTAGTACAGTTTGTCTTCTATTCGATAGCATATTTATATCACATATTCTGTTAATTTCTCATTCACTGTATCTCTCTTTAAAATGCAGTGCCATTATAACACCTGAATAATTATATTTTTCAATTTCAACAATTATAATTTATGCATTTATTCACAATTTTGTCTATTTGCAATGGCCTTAGTCCTGCATATGGAACATAATTTATAAACTTGTGAAATGGAAGTATATAAACCTTCTATTATTTTGGATTTTTGAAAAATCCTGTTTGGTATCTATCAGTTCACTAGAGCTGCTATAACAAAATGCCACAGATTGGGTGGTTTAAACAGCAGAAATTTATTATCTCACAGTTCTGGAGGCTGAAAGCCTATGATCAAGGTGTTGGCAGGTTGGGTTTCTCCTGCAGGCTCTCTCCTTGGCTTGCAGACAGTGCCTTCTCATTACGTCCTCACATGGCCTTTTCTCTGCACATGCACATCTTTGGAGTCTCTTCCTCATCTTATAAGGACATCAGTCATTTTGGATTAAAGCCCTACCCTCATGACCTTATTTAATCTGAATTATCTCTTTAAAGGCTCTGTCTCCAAATATAGTCACATTAGGGGTTAGGGCTTGAACATATAAATTTGGGGGTAGGGAACACAATTCAGTCCATAACGGTGTTTGGCTGGTACTTGTCTTTGTTAAATGTGATTGAATGTTTTATCAAGATCATAATGAATTCATACATATTCGATGATGATACACGTTAGTTTTAACCAGTCATAGCTTATGAATAGTTTTTTTTACTTCTTCACTAATTTTGATATACATAATTAATACCTGAGAAATATTTGCCACTGAAATCTTGAAAACCAAATGTTTATATTTGTAACAAAGGGGGAAAAATAACCTATATTGAGTTCTTGTTATATACATGCATCTTAACAATCAGTTAAATGTATCTTTTCTCCAGCCTCAATGCTACTGCTTTAGCTCATGCCGTGATCTCTCTGGGAGAAGTGAATAATCTCCTAGGTCTCCAAACTTTCCGTCAGGTTCATATTCCTTCCTCATTGTTGCCTGAATGATCTGGCTAAGAAAATAAAAACAAAGGTAAAAAAGAAGAGAGAGAAAAAAATCTGACAATATTACTCTCTTTTACAGAATCCTTCAGTGGCTAAAGGCCAGATTTCTTAGCATAGTCTAGAAGACCCTGAACTCCCAGTAATTCTTTGGATGCACCATGCTGTCATGCTGTTGTTAGGTCCTTTGGATGTGTTGTTCCCTTTTCCTCTCTCCTGTCCTGCTTAAAGACACATTCAGTTCCTTTCTTAGTCCTTTTCTAACATGTTCATTCTTCCCTAAACTGCTCATCTTCTGTTCTACACAACATTTCCTCGTACACTTTCTAATATTTGATATTGGATCTGATATTTACTATCTAATCATTGATTTCTAATTATTTATTTACATGTTCTGTCTTAATAGAAAATTATTGCTCAGGGGTAGTCTTATTCACTCCCTTGATGTTATGGTATTAACTCCCAAGTCTGTATCTCCAACACAGATTTCTGTACTAAATTTTAGATCCAGATAATAACCACTTAGATCACAGGCACTTCAAATTCAACCTGTCTAAAGTAGTCACATCTTATTTCAATCCTTTGGGAAACAAGAAAACAACAAAATAGCATTAACTTTATAGAAACTGTTGCTTCCAAAAAATTCTTTTTGAAAATTTTGTTCTTTTGGGGCCATATAGTTTTTCTGTTTAATAGCATATGGTTCCATTAGTAAACTGCTTTTAAAAATTGGATAGAAATTGAAGTGTCTCTTATTAACTTGTAAGAAATTTATACCTTAATTAAAACTTGTAGATTTTATCTCCATAAGGTCATATAAATTATGAGTTAATAGTCTATAAAATAAGAGTTTTATCTCTAGTAAAGGTGATGTGTCTTATTGAGGACCAAAGCTCCCACTGAAAACAACTAGCAACTAGCATTTGCCAATTTTTTAGTGTTTCAGACTGAGGGCCAAGAGGACAGGCAGAGTTTGGGGCAGTCTCATGGAACTTAGGCAACTTTTACATTTCTTGCCTTTGCATTTGGCAAGAAATCTTTGACAAATCCAATGTCATGAAGCTTTCCCCCTGTTTTCTTCTAGAAGTTTTATATTTTAGGTCTTACTTTTATGTCTTGGATACATTTTGAGTTAATTTTGTATATGGTGTAAGGGAAGGGTCCAACTTCATTCTTTTGCATGTGAATATCCTCTTTTTCCAGCACCATTTGTTGAACAGAGTATTCTTTCCTTTTGGAATGGTCTTGGCAACTTTGTTGAAAAATCATTTGACCATATAAGCAAGAGTTTATTTGGGGCTGTCCTCTTCCATGTGTCTATATTATATGCCTGTCTTTATGTTAGTACAACACTGTTTTGATAACTGTAGTTTTGTAATAAGTTTTGAAATCAGGAAGTGTGAAACCTTCAACTTTTTCAGGATTGTTTTGTCCATTTGAGGTCCCTTGAGATTTCACATGAATTTTAGGATGGATTTTTCTATTTCTGCAAAAAAATGTCATTGGGATTTTAATAGGGATTGCTTTAAATCTGTAGATTGCCTTGGGTAGTATTTACATCTTAACAATATTAAGTCTTCCATTCCATGAACATGGGATGTCTTTCCATTTATTTGTGTCTTCTTTAATAGAAATTAAACCTGTGTATGTCTTTCACCTCCTTAAGTTTATTTCCTAACTATCTTATTTTTAAATGTTATTGTAAATTGAATTGTTTTCTTAATTTCCTTTCGGGATTGTTCATTGCAAGTATATAGGAACACAACTGGTTTTTGGGTGTTGATTTTTGTATCCTCCAACTTTGCTGAATTAGTTTATTACTTCTAACAGTACGCCAAAAGTAGAATGTTCACAGCAGTATTATTTATAAAAGCCAATAACTAGAATGAATCCAAAAGTCTATTAATAGTAGAATGGACAAATAAATTATAGCACTTTCATACAGTGGAATGTTACACAGTAATAAAAGTATACTACTGTTACATGCAATAATGTAGAGTAATCATACAAACATAAAAAGTCATTCTCAAAGAAGTACATACTATATATTTCCATTTTAATTCAAATACAGGAAAAACTAATATGTTGTTTGTAACATTGCTTCTGAAAGTATGTTCCAGAGGCCCTTGCATGTCCTGGTCCCCAAGATGCTTTTAGGAAACCTGTTGGGCCAAAACCATTTTCATAATAATACTTCGTGTGTGTGTGCCTTTTTCACTCTGATTCTCTCACTTACAAGTGTACAGTATTCCCAGAGGCTACATGATTTGCGTTAATGATTGAATGCAGAAGCAGATAGGAGGAGAATTCGGATGCCCTCTTTTAAGTCAGACATTAAAGAAATTTCCAAAGTATAAAACAATGTCTCCATGAATTTGTTTGGAAAATAGGTATTTACATTAAGATGTGCTATTCATCATAATATGTAAAGGGTTTATTACTATTAAAAAGTAAATTTATTTTAAAAGTTTCTCATTTTTAATTTCTAATAGGTTAAATAACCCACATAAATAAAAGTTCTCTGGAGTTTTAATAGTTGTTTTCCTGAGACTGAAAAGTTTGAGAAACACTGTTGCAGATGACAGGATAGTGGTTACCTTTGGGTAGTAAAATGGGTTTAATGATTCGAAGGGGCATGCAGGGCTTCTAGAATGTTGGTAATATGGTTTTTTATCTTAGCAGAGGGGGTGTAGTTGTGTTCACTTTATTAAAAGTCTTTAAAAGCTCTGTATACTATTTATATTATACTTATTTATACTATACTTATACTATTTATATTATCCTGTATATTCTGTTGTATATAGCCTATATAAAGTACTGTTTTCAGATTGTCCGATGACATTCATAGTCTTCCCCATGTCACCAGAAATTTAATTTGCTACCATGAGAGTTCCACACAGACTAAATGTCATATAGCATGTTGGTTCACGTTCTAGAATAATCACATGTGTATTGTTTGGTTTCCTGCTATATCCTATTAATTATTTTTTTCTAGTTTATCTAGAAGTCTACTATATCCTATTAATTCTTTTTTCTGACAGTATGTTTATCACTCTTACAGGAAGAATCCTGTCCATTTTCAACACTTCAGTCACCCTGGTGATAGTGATTATGGAGGTGTACACATCACGTGTCAAGGTGAGGCTGATGACCGGCCCGAATGTCCCTATGGAGCATCTTGTTATAGGTATGTAAACCTGAAGTGTTTGGTTATACTCCTTTTCTGCTTAATCTCTGTTATTTATTCAGGAGAAACTGCAGGCAAGCTTCTCATCTCAAGCCTTTAACTTTTAGTTTTTAAACTTCCATAGATAATAGGTTTTCATTTTGTTAATAGGTAGGATTGTAATGTTTCTTTTAGATAATTCTAAATCGTTGAAGTTATTAACATTATAAATGCCTAAAATTTTTCCTCATTTCTAACTTTCTGAAGTGTAAATCAGATAATTTAAAAGCTGTCAGTGCTACCCCATTATACCTTCTATCCAGACTCCGTAGTTTGACATAAATCAATTCAGGATGTTATCTCTGCCTCCCTCAACACCTACCAGGCCACCATTCTTGTCAGCACATGAAACTCAATCCTAAAAGGAAACAGTACCTCCCCTCTCTCCTTCCATAGCATCTTGTACTCATCTGTATCATGCACAGTAGAATTTATCTCACGAGATTGTGTTTAGTTCTTTCCTGGATTGGCTTCTCCTCCAGACAGTAAGTTCCTTGACAGTAAGGACTTTTTTTTTAAGCATCTTTATTTCTTTTTTAATTTATTTCCTTTTTATTTATTTATTTTCTTTATTTTTTTGGCTGCATTGGGTCTTAGTTACGGCATTGGGGTATTTATTGAGGCGTACGGGATCTTTGGTTGCGGTGCGGGCTCTTCGTTGTGGCGTGCGGGCTTCTCTGGTTGTAGAGTATGGGTTTTCTCTCTCTAGTTGTGGCGCTCAGGCTCCAGGGTGTGTGGGCTCTGTAGTTGTGGCACGCAGGGTACAGAGCGCATGGGCTCTGTAGTTTGCAGTACATGGGCTCTCTCATTGAGGAGCACAAATTCAGTAGTTATGGCGTGTGGGCTTAGTTGCCCCACGGCATGTAGGATCTTAGTTCCCTGATCAGGGATTGAACCCACGTCCCCTGCATTGGAAGGCAGATTCTTTACCACTGGACCACCAAGGAAGTCCCTCCAGTAAGGACCTTTTTATCTGCAACTTTGTTGAATGAATGAATGAACTTGAAATAAATCAAACTACCAAAGAAAGAAGTAGGATTCCATTCTTAGAGAGCTTTAATTCTAGACAACTGTCTTTCTTAGATAATTTTGGAATACAGGTTACTGAACCTACTGCCATTTTTGAAATTGTTGCTATTTCTATGATTTGGTTTTCAATAAGAAGGCAGGGTATATGCCCAGTAGTGGGATTGCTGGGTCATATGGTAGCTCTATTTTTAGTTTTTTAAGGAACCTCCATACTCCATACTGTTCTCCATAGTGACTGAATTTACATTCCCACCAACAGTGCAGAAGGGTTCCCTTTTCTCCACACCGTCTCCAGCATTTATTGTTTGTAGATGTTTTGATGACGGCTATTCTGACTGGTGTGAGGTGATAGATACCTCATTGTAGTTTTGCTTTGCATTTCTCTAATAATTAGTGATGTTGAGCATCTTTTCATGTGCCTCTTGGCCATCTGTATGACTTCTTTGCTGAAATGCCTATTTAGATCTTCTGCCCATTTTTTGATTGGGTTGTTTGCTTTTTTGATATTGAGCTCCATTGTATATTCTTGCCTCCTTTAACAAAGATAAGGTGACCATATGTCACCTTATTTGGGTTCCACGTAAGTTAAGCGAAAAAATCCTCCTTGACCATATTTCCACGTGCAATTCTCTACTTAAACGTAACAAAAATGTTTCGTTTTTAAAACAAATTGTGACAGGCAATGAAAAGTATACACTGTACACTTTTTTTTGTACAGTGGATACTGTACAATAATGTGGGACGGAAGAGATCGTGGGTCAAGTGAAATGAACCACCACCAACCACACCAAAGGCTGGTCTTCATCCAAAGAAGGTGATGTTGTGTATATGGTGAGAGTCCTCTATTATGAGCACCTTCCGGAAAACCAACTGATTAATTCCAACAAGTACTGCTCCCAATTAGACCAACTGGAAACAGCACTCGACAAAAAGCATCCAGAATTAGTCAACAGAGACCACATAATCTTCCTTCAGGATAATACATGACTGTACATTTCTTTGATGACCAGGCAAGAACTGTTAGAGCTTGGCTGGGAAGTTCTGATTCATCTGCCATATTCACCAGACATTGCACCTTCAGGTTTCCATTTATTTCGGCCTTTACAAAATTCTCTTAATGGAAAAAATTTCAGTTCCCTGGAAGACTGTAAAAGGCACCTGGAACAGTTCTTTGCTCAAAAAGATAAAAGGTTTTGAGAAGATAGAATTATGAAGTTGCCTGGAAAATGGCAGATGGTAGTGGAACAAAACAGTGAATATGTTGTTCTGTAAGGTTCTTGGTGAAAATGAAAAATCCGTCTTTTATTTTTACTTTAAACACCGAAGGAGCTTTTTGGCCAACCCAATACTATGATACCATTATTAAATAAATCTTTAATATCTCAGTATTCTGTCAGGTATGCCAATTCCCTTACAGTCTCATAATATTTTTTTTCTTTTTGTATCTTTGCATCCAGATCCAGTTAAGATCCATGTATGACAAAAAATGGCCATGTTTCTTAAGTTATTTAATCAATAGGTTCCTCTTTGTTTTTTCCCCTGCAATATATTTGCGTAAGAAAGCTGACCATTTGTACTGAGGAGTATCCCTTAGTCTGTATTTTGCTGATTGCATTACCAAATTGTCATTCATTATGTTCCCTTGTATTTCCTCATAATTGATGGTTAGAAGCTAGTTATGTGTTTGTTGCAGATCTCTGACTTCTAGTAGTACTTTGTCTCTGAAACACTACCTGAGTTAGAGATTTCACTCTGCCTTTTTGAAGATTCAGATTCAGAACTTAAGTCTCTCAGACCTCCAGGAACTCAGCAAATATTTCCTGGGAAAAATCAGCCTTGTGTTTGGGGTTCCTTTAGTTTCTAGACTGTTGTGACAACACCATGAGATCATGATAAGCTGTACTAATTTCTCTCCTAAAATAGTGTGCCTCCACTTGGTCCAAATCTTATCCTTAGCCCACACTAAGAATTGTCAAAGGCTTCTACGGAAGAAAGGAGCCAGTTATTGTCAGCTCACCTAGGGAGGACTTTTTCCTCTTTGGAATTTTAGATAATATAAAATTCTCGTTGCTCCCACAATTCTCTCATAAATATATTTTTAACCATTTATCAAGGGTTTTTTTCTAGTTGTTAAAACAAGAGTATTAACATGCCATGATGTCCTGCACCCTTTTCAGAAGCAAAATACAAATATGCGTATTCTCGAGGAGAATAAAAACAAAATGCAAAGCCTTGCTAAGAATAATGATGTCAAAAATTGCTGCCTTTATTTCATCAATCTCTTTAAATGGGGGCAGAGTAGGGAATAGTCAAGAGAAATTACTCAAAGGCCAGTGACTCACATGTACTAGTAGAAACTTTCATATCTATATCTAAATATATTTATATGTATGTATGTTTTATTTTTCTTTTTCATCTGTTGAGCTGCTTGGTGTCATTGTTTCCACTTGAAGATAAAATCGTAAGATTTTTTTCTCCCTCATTAATTTTAATTACAGTTTAGAGAGACTCTTGGAGAATGTTAGATATGATTGCTTACTCTGGCTACTGTTTTACAAATAAGGGAATGGAAACAAAGAAAGATTGAGTTGCCTAAGACTCCAAAGCTAGTGAGCTCAAAACCAAGTCTCCTCCCTCCTCCGGTGCAGCCTTTCTCTGTGTTGTGGCCTGATTCCACCATTGTTAGCACTTCTAAAGTATTGATAGTGCTTGCCTTTTTAGCCACATGGCAAAATAATATTTTGCAGTTAAAAAAAAACAAAACCCAGATAAAGTACTTCGAAGAAATTGTGAATTTTTCAAATCAACAAGATACTAGAAACTAGATTGTAGAAGCATGATATATATTTATATATCCTTTCTTGTCACATTATCATTTTTAGTTAGGCAAAAAACACATCTAGTAAATTTATGTTGTATCATTTCTATAATTAAATTGATATAATGTTATGAGCTATTTTTTCTTTAACAATATTGATTTGCAAGAATAAATTATTTTTTTAGCCATATACTGTTTAGTGCTGTTAAAAAATGATTTAAAGAAGACAGTGTGGGTGATACAAATTAACTTTATAAAACAGACAGTCTCCATTTGGAGAAGTGCAATATGGGGCAGAAGACAGGAAGTTTTCATAGGATGAAGAATTAAAGAACAAGGAAGAGAAAAATAGAAAATGTCTGATTGGCTGGGGCCCCATAGTCAACCTTGTTTGGGGTGAGAAGGAACAAAGAAATAAGTATAGAGCCCAGAGTTGGTTTGGCCTGTGGGGATTGGCTGACTGGATACACGGTGTCTCTGGTCAAGCACAGCATTTACAGGGACCTGAAAGTTATCTTAAGTTTCAGTTTGCTGACATGGCACCCTAGGCAGGAGTGGCTCCATCTTGGTCCTAGATGTTTGTTTCAGTAGCGCTAGAATATAAGCCTACTGTATCAGAATTACAAAATATTCTAAATTAGCTTGCTTAAAAGCAAGTTTTTAGGTAAATGCATGCCAGGTTTTTCCTGTAGCCATAGAAGAAAAATATTGAAGCCTCACGGATCATAAAATAACCCACGAAATCAGCCAGAAATTAATATATTTAGAAAAGTAAAGACATACATGTTCTAAAAGTAAAGTTGTGATAAGCCTGTATTCCATGATGGTTGAGACATTTGGAAGAGAGATGAAATTCATGGGCTAAAACATCTTTGTTTGCTTTTTATCTTTAAAAATTTGCCTTCACAAAACAGGATAAGAATTATTCTCAAGTAAAAACAAGTATTCTCTCAAGTGAAATGCTAGGTTGGCTTTTAATCTGTTTGCTTCCCGATCTTACCTTCTAATCCCTTGAACGTGTCCAAGTCAGTTTCTCGTTTTGATAAATCTAGGTGATCTCAAATGTTATATAATACATTAAATAATCTTAATCTTATACTGTATCAGCTACCTA